CGCACGCACGCACGCACGCACGCACGCACGCACGCACGCACGCACGCACGCACGCACGCACGCACGCACGCACGCACGCACGCACGCACGCACACACACACACACACACACACACACACACATATATAGAGGTTACTAGCGTTCCTTTGACCATTGCATTTTTTGCAAAACGCATAAAGTGATATGTTTATTCAATGTATGTAGATGCGCACGTATTAAAAAGTCTTTAAATTGCAAATTGCTGCACAAATAAATCGGAATAATATATCTTGTGGACAGCCCATACTAGGAGTAACTCGGTAATCTAGCAGTGTATTGAAATGTTCGATGTTTCGGTAAATTTGCTGACTGATATTAACGTGCGCGCAAATACTGCGACTGGCTATGGCTATAATGTCACAGATGATCAATTATTCAATATCTGGAATATCGGTACACAATAAATTGCCGATATTCCGTTTTTACGGGTATCGATCACGTGCGCGAATTTCAATGGTTAGTCGCGTCTCGATATTATGCACATTGAAAAAGGATCGAAGGATCCGTCTTAAACGTTATGTACTCTTAATTCTTTTTTAGATTTGATGAAGTCATCGAAGGCAAGATTCCACGAGATGGAATAACAGTGATGTATGATGTAAAGGACAGAAAATCGGTAAATAAGATACAGGATATACATACGGACTCAGTATTCCGTCATTATATGGAGCATAAGAAGATCCTCGACATAGTTGAGTGTTTTACGGGACCAAACATCTTGGCGATTCATAGTATGCTCATCGCAAAACCACCCGATGTAGGATTTGGAAGTTCGAAGTAATCGTTAAAAAAATCTTGAATTATCAGTAGTTATTTGATACAACGCGGCTAACAAACGTGACGTGTTCTCTTAGGCACCCGCCGCATCAAGACCTGTATTACTTTCCGTTCCGACCAGCCGATCGTATAGTAGCTGCATGGACAGCCATGGAACCCTGCGATAATGTAAACGGATGTCTCTACGTATCGCCTGGAACACACATTGTAGGGAACTTGTTCCCGCATGATTATCCTGAGGGAGCGGTGAACAAGTTTTATCATGGCATACAAGTAAGATATTTCCTTAGTTCGTCTTATTTACTGAGGTGTTAATCGTTTCTTAATTAACATTTTACTTTTACTGAAGAATTTGCCTACGGCGTTCAATCGTTGGGTGAATCTCGAGATGCAACCCGGCGACACGGTATTCTTCCATCCGTTGCTCATTCACGGATCCGGCATTAACAAATCCCAGAGAACAAGACGGGCAATTTCCTGTCATTACGCAGCAGCCGAATGTAATATTATTGATGTACGTAGACAATAAGTAATTGCCAGTTTATTATCGCGAACCGAAAACGCGAATTTGAGAAATGTAACGAATAAGATGTGTTCATGTTTTTGTTTAGGACGATCCACTTCAGGACACCATCAGGAATGAGGTTTTAGAGTTAATGAAGAAAAAATATCCTACCATACAGATGACATACTCGGACATATGGCGCTTCAAATCCTCGCTCGTGCGTGGTCTTCAATCCTCTTATTAAAAATAGTTGTACATCAAACTATTGATTTATATTGTATCACGACGGCTATTATTTTATGATGGTAATAATTAGATAACGTTAGCATAAGACCGATGCAGATAATGTGGGGTTGAGTAAATAGGGGTAATATTCGGGAGAGGGGTAGGCAAGTAACGTCACTACAGAAGAAGAAGTAACGACAACGGCGGGATTGTCGCCGTTATTATTTAATGAATTAATGTTGCGCCGATATCGTTGTGTGATAAAACAGTGCTTCGCGAGGGGATCTTTGTAAGTGTTCTCGTGTCGCACACTGGAACTCGAGGTGCGACAAGCGGCTAAACAAATCTGAAAGCGATCCGAATTGCGAATAGGCATTCTTCCTACGTCTTTTTGTACTTTTGCAGAGTTCGATAATACGTCCTTCCGACTTTTTATTTGCTGGAACAAATTTAGATAATGATAAAAATAATAATTCTCTTTTAGATATTGTTAAACTTTTGTATGGTTTAGATGATATGGTATGAGAAAAAAATACAGTTTTATAGAATCAATAACAACTTACCTTGTCGGGATGCAAACAGCAGGACACGCAATACTCGTAAATGGTACAGCACCCTTGAGGATTGCACGTTTTGCAGCTGTATCTTTCCCTTCTAGCCATAGACAGTGACTCTTCATTTTTTGAAGTCTGTATCTGCTCTATCGTACAACATCCATTCGATAGAACTTCGTGTCTCAAACATACGACACCACGATCATCAACTATCAAGCCTCTTCCCTGATAAAAATAAAATATATATTACGAAATACTCATAAAAATAAACAGAATTTGTTTAGCATGTCTATTATCACATTAAATAACTTTGTCTTCAATACCATTTTTATATCAGTATGTTATTATTTCAATACGCTACTTAACACAAGGTCGAAATGACTTGTTTGACATTTTCTTATAATTATTACTCATTTTTTAAACATCTTAATTTCTGAAGTTGTCCATAACTTTTATTTAAATCAGATGATTAAGGTTATAAATATGTTTTCTCTGTTTTTTCTAAGATTTCAATGTAGTATACCAAGATATAGGACAGGTCATTTTGACCCGTCAACAAAATGTCGGTAAAATTTTGATTACATTCACATTTCTGAAGTTTCTTATGAAGTTTTTTCAAGATTCTTTCAGTACTAGAAATAAATTCGTCCCGGTATACCTAGGTATAATACATAGAAATCTTACAAAATATGCCATATGCAAGATGTAATGTAGGGACACCTGGCAAACTATTTCATCTGAAATGTATTGCTGTAATATAGAAATATTACAAAATACGTCAAACTATTTATCAGAAATGTATTGCTATTGTGTTGGTTTACGGGAAATGAAAAAATATGACAGGTCAATGCAAAAGACAGTGTTTGTCCTAGATTGCATATAGCGGAACCTGTCTTACAATTAGAAAGATAGAGAGCAAAGGAGAGAAAAGAAAGGGATGTATGTACAAGCAAATAAGCGTAAAACAAGCGCATTCGTAGTAGCTGGTGTCGAGTTCTGCTCCATCATAAAGTTTATAACTTGCTTTCTTCGAAATGACTGATTTTCGAGTTGTTGAAATGTGAAGTATTGAAATCTATATTTTAATACGAGAGTAAAAATGTGCATAAATCATAATTTAGAATTACGCTTTAGATTGCACTGAGATATATACAAATATACATTTTTTTCTTCATCATGTTTTTTCGAAAATAAGTCATTTTAATCCCTTCGATAGAAATAGGTATAATCTTCGATAGTTCTAGCGTTAATTATATTTTTCATTAATCGTAATGAAATTTTTATTTCTCTCTTCGAAAAATCAAATAACTGGCGTCCAATTGTAGTTTGCCTACAACTACAACTCATATTGGACAGTCACATTTGGTGTTAATACAAATGCTTACTTGAATAGAATTGCGACAAGTCTGAGCAGAAACGTCGCTGTCATTTAAATTAGATGCATCCATATCTTCTGTGTTATCATTAGCCGCTTGATCAAGAATTTCCACCTGCCACAATGGAGATTTATCAGACGCTCTTAGTTCTTCTAGAGTGTTATCGTCAGGTATCAGTTTATTGTTATCATTGATCATCATGGGATCCATATCGAGATCATTGTCCAGATTCGGTGGCCCTTTCTGTAAAGAAAATGACAAAGCCTTCTGTAATAGGAGTTATAACGACAATACCGTACAATCCCAGCCGGATCATCGACGTAATCTGACCTCGGCGATATAAATGTACCTGCCTTTTCATTTCGGAGCAACGAAAAGGCACAATACGTCAGCGACAGGGCGAAAATGAGTCCAAGAACGAGACGTCGTCTAAGCAATCGGATCAGGCTCGTGCAGCTTGACATCCTTTCTGCGTTCCGCTTATACGCTTCTCCTCACCAAAATCGCCTTGAATTCGCCGGACATAGTACTCGCGGGACGATCATTGGGACGTGCTGTGTAGAAGATACCGCGTGCGACCGCGAGAAGGCTTCGGCTAGTTCGGCTTCGCAACGAGGACATCGAAACGCGATCGCAGATCCACAGAGATTCGCAGAGATCGATGCGAGGAAGGAGGTTAGGTTTACTCCGAAAGTTCGTGAAACACTATAAACATTATTTTGCCGAGTTCACGCACGCTGTCGGTTTCATCGCAACGAGGATAAGCGATCGAACGGGTTCTATGGATTACTGTCTCGTTGATCGAACGAGTTTCGTTAATTATGAGCCAACGGAACAAACACGCGGTGATGAGCGGCGATGGCCACGATGCACGATGTGAATATGTGATATGTGATATGCCTATTGGCCCTATATTGCCCAATGCCTATTGGGTTCGTTCAGGTTCGTTGACTTGTTGAAAGATAGTTTTGAGGCAACACGGTACGCGGTGTGGTGTCCCGTAAATGAAATTTTTACAATTTTACCTCTTTTTTCAAAAATTCTTTCAGAATTATTAATTATAATCCTCATTTATTAATTATCTTTATCCAACGTCTTTATCTTTATAACTTTCAGCCATTTGTCTCTATCTTTATAAATAACATACCTTTATTAATCCTTTTAAGGTCTATATCCAGACAAACTTGCATAGGTGCATAACAATTAATATGCGCATAAAGAAACGGATTGGTCTATTTCCTTATGCACATGCATATGGACCAATCAATTCTCTTAATGTTTAATATGTTTATGCGCTATGCAAGTTTGTCTGGATTGACCTTTACGGGCCATGCACACATCGATCCCGTTGGAGTAAAATGTTATAAATTATAAGATAGTCTTAAAAGACGTCCCTGATGAAAATTTTTTAGTTTTTTTTAGTTTTTTTTTTTAGTTTTTTTTTAATGTACATAATTATGTACACATGC